GTAAAGCACTTCAAAAGTATGTTTGCATTTATAATCTTACTTGAATCTCAACATAACTCTGTGGGGATGGGCAAAGCAAGGGTTGTCAGGCCTTGAAGTTGAGGAAACAATGGCCCGGAGAGGTTACATTTCCTGCACAAGTGTGTGAAGAGGAACACCAGAACGCAGGTCTTCCGCCCCGTGCAGTGCTTTGTTCTAGGACACACCTTTTCTGTCCCTACCGTGCTGGACATTTCCAGAATAATTCATCCTGTTTCTGCTTTTTCAGTGTAAGTCCCTCATCCCTTTCCATGTACTAAACTGTGCTGAGCCCTGCGGGTTTCAAAGACTCTCGTTTAGGCTACAAGGATCTACCCTCAAGGTTTCAATCTGGTAGTCATCAAAGTATTTCTTTCGCTGTCCTCCCCGCCCCGCCAAAGAGATAAACATTTTCTCCCTTTTAATAGCTCAGGGAAAGACTGCTTTTATAAAAAATTAAACTTATTGGGATGACATTGGTTAATAACACATAATTTTCAGGTGTACATTATAATTCAATATCTGTATTTCTTTTGAGTCCTCAACACTCAAAGTCCAGCTTCTGTCCTTTACCATATATTTGACCCCCTTTACCCACCAGGATTGTTTTAACAGTCTGCCTGTCCAGTACAACGTAGGCACAATCAAAACCAGAAAAATGATTGTCTATGTCCCTTCCAGTGTAGCACTGTAACATCCAGGGACAGGCGAGTGGGAAAGCAGTCTATTCCCATTTCTTTCTTTCTTTCTTTTTTTTTATTTTTTTATCTTCATCCGAGGACATTTTTCCATTTGTTGTTCAAATAGAGTGGAGAGGGAGGGACGGAGAGAGAGAGAGAGAGAGAGAGAGAGAGAGAGAGAGAGAGAGAGAGAAACATCAATGTGAAAGGGACACATCGAGTGGCTGCCACCCACACGACCCAACCAGGGTGGGGGACAAACTGCAACCAAGATACATGCCCTTTGCAGGAACTGAACCCGGGTCTCTCTGGACCGCAGGCTGACGCTCTACCGCTGAGCTAAACCGGCCAGGGCTCCATTCCCATTTCATACCCCCCACCACATCCTATAGCTAAAGGCCTAGACACTGACCATCCTCCCCCTTGCCTGTCTGTCTGTCTTACTCTGTTAGAAGGTTTCATGTTCTTTCTTCTCTCTTTCTTAACCTCAACTCATCTGCTTTAAAACTGGATTGCCTTAAAAAGAAGACTAGCCCTGGCCAGTGTGGCTCAGTTGGTTGAGCATTGTCCCATGCACCAAGAGGTCACCAGTTAGATTTCTGGTCAGAGCTCATGCCTGGGTTTCAGGCTTGATCCCCAGTGGAGGGTGTGCAGGATGCAGCTGAGATCAATGTTTTTCTCACTCATCAATGTTTTTCTCTCTCTTCCTTCCACTCTCTCTAAAAATCAATAAAACATATTTTAAAAATATAAAGGAGACTAAATAGTTTCCCTTAAGTTAAAAAGAGACCAAAATGATGATTAGGATACTGGATGTTGGCATTGAATATCCAAAGCCTTTATGACACTGTTGGTCTAACATGCTATTGTGCTCCTTATTCTGTATCCCTTAAGGCAGCATAAACCTCATGCCTGGTAAGTCTATTGTGTCTTATAAATTTCTGTGACAATCCCAACCTGAAAGGTACTCCACTGGGCTTGAAAGTATTATGAGATTTGCAATTAAAATGATCTAGACTGGGTTTGACCTTTCTATTTATTCACTGGGTAACTTTAGGCATGTTAATTTCCCTGAGCCTCGGGTTCTTCTTCTATAACATAAGGACAAAAATACACTCCTCATAGTTCTCACCACAAGAAAAAAAATAATTTTGTAACTTGTGTGATAATAAATGTTAAGACTTACTGTGATCACTTCACAATATAAACAAATATAGAAACATTGTTATATACCCAAAACTAATATTATGTCAATTATACCTCAATAAAAACATATTTTTATAATGTTAAGGTATATTTATATACTGTGAGATGCATATATATGAAGGGCACAGTTTGATAAGTTTTGACAAATGTATATCTACCCTAAACCAAGATACAGAATATTTTCATCACCCCCAGAAAGTCCATGTATATCCCTTTCCAGTCAACCCCACTCTACTGTTCTAATATCTATTACCACAGATTAGTTTAACCTATTTTGAACACCAGATTAAATGGAATCATATTGTATATAACCTTTTGTATCTTTCTTCTTTCACGCAACATAATGTCTGCCAGACTCATCCATGTTTTATCGGTACTTTGTTCTTTTTTTTTCCTTGATGAGTAGTGGTATATTATTCAGTTTTCTTTTTTAAATATTACTGCTAATTTGTCCCTTAAAATTCTTTCCATTCAATGTATCTCTTGCATGGTCCTTTCCATGCATGTATCTTCTGCATATCTCCTTGACAATGCTTGATATGAGAAAGATATGTTAAGTGGACTATTTTATCTCTACCGCTGTCCTTTTAGGTAGAAGTGGTTCTCTCTACCTTTAGGAGAAAAGATAACCAGGCAATCTAGCATGTCAGTCATGAGTAGCCTTCAAAATAGATAGATCTAGGTTCTCATTTCCAGTCTAGCACTTAACAGACGGGTGGTTTGGGACAGGTGATTTAACCTCTCTGTGACTGTTTTTCCATTTGTAAAATGAGGATAATAATACCTTCCTAATAGGATTTTGTGAGGACTAAATTATACTGTACATAAAATGTTTGGCACAATGGAAACTAATAATAGCCTCAAGCTTGACTGTAATAAACATCTTTCTGCTTCATTCACACACTCTCAGATTTTTTAAGTCGTATAGTATAAATGGGTATATATTTTCAGAAGTTTTTTTAAATGAAGTTTTTAATTATATCTAGAAAAATCTAATTGTCAGATATTTACTTAAAATAAATATTATTTCCTATGTTAAAAAGCAAAGCCTTCCACCGTTTATTCAGTGGCAATTATATACTCAGTGCCAACTCTGAGGGGTTCTTCAAAAAAGTTAAAGACATGGCCCTAGCTTTTAGGATGTTTGGTTTGGGAGGGTAATAAGATAAGCACAAAAATAATTATAATACACAGTATGGTCAATAATAATAATAATTAACATTTGCTAATACAGTGGTTAAAAGCATGGTCTCTGGAGTTATGCTATACCATTCAAATCTCAGTCATGTGATGTTGGGAAAGTTACTTAACCTTTTTTGTATGTTACTTAACTTGTAAAATAGGGATAATAACACCTCTTACCTAGCAGGGCTGTTATGAGGAGTAGATGAGTTAATACATGTAAATACTTAGCACAGTATCAGCACATTTAAAAATGCAATAAAGAACAGTTAACATTACCGAACATTAATATTTGTCAAGCACTCTGTTAAATGCTTTACATGCATAACTTCACATAATCCCCACAATGTTGTTTCTAATATTATACCTATTTTACTGATAAGGTAACTGAGAAGCAGGGAGTTTAGGTAAGAAGATTACATACCTAGTAAATAACAAATGCCATAGAAAAGGCACATCTATAAAATAGGGATGATGATAATAGTACCTACTTTAATGATAATTAAATTAATATTTGAAAAGTGTTTACAACAGAGCCTAGCACATAATAAGGTCTATATAAGTGGATGTTAAATAAATACAAATTGCTATGGTGATTCAGAGATGGCAATAAATAACTTCCATGCATGGAGACTAAGGAAGGGTTTGGAATGGTGACATTTAAGCTAAATCCTGGAGAGAATGAGAGAGAGACAGAGAGGGAAAGGGGGGGGGGGAGGGAAGGGAAGGGAAGAAGAGGCAGGAAGTGGGAGAAAGCTCAGAGTAGGGTGTGCAAAAAGAAAAAATGGAGTAGTTAAATTTGAATAGATTTTTTTAAATCTCCCTTTTCCTCTAAACAGTCACTATTTCTGCCAGCTGTACTTCAAAATATCTAATCATTTCCTTTCATCCCTATAGAATAGGGATAGCAGTATCCTTACCCCTTCATTATCTATTTTACAATATTTATGGAGTGCCTCAACGCAGCAGGCACTGTGCTAGGAGCTAAGGATACATCAATTAACAAGGCAGACCAAAACCCAGTTCCTGTTCTGCTCTATAATAATACTCCAAAGTGGATTCCCAGCTTTTGGTCGTCTCCACTCCAATCCATCCTCCACATTGCCACGATGGAGACTGAAATACAGACTGGTCCAGGCACTCCCTTGCTTAAATCCCCTGTAGTCTTTTCCCAGCGTGTTCAGAACAAGTTCCAATTTCCCTAGCATTCTGGTCAAGGCCCTTTACTAATTGGCCAGCACAGCCTTATCTTCCAGCTTTCACCTCCATACACTCTGCACTTGGGCCAGAGTAAATCACTCAAAATCCTAAATGGACACACTTATAAATAAGCACCTGCTGAAAGACGCGGCTAGAACTCCGTCCCTACTTCATCCTTGTACACTGAAATATCCCCCACTCCGCGTGTCTCGGATGTGAAAACCCTAGTACCGCCCCTCCAGCCCCGGAGCCTGAGCAACAGCTTAGACTGGACACTTCCCCACGGCGCCAGCATCCAGAGAAGCGGGCGCATACCCCTCACCCCGCAGGAGGCCGGAAGGGGAGGGGCTTTGCGTGGCCCTGAGCCACCATCTTGCCTGAGTTGGCCGGAAATAGCCCCGCGAGCCGGCGTGCGGGTGTCGACTGAGGTTGCGCAGTGGCCGCTCCGCAAGTTCTCTGCGCGGGCAGCGCTGCGGTAGCCGTCCCGAGTCCTCTGCGGCCTCGCCCTGCAGCCACAAAGCCCCTTCTGTCGTCTCGCCTAGTCCTCCTCCCGCGGCTCCAGCCGCTGTCCCACCCTTCCGCCGGGGTTCGTGCAGCGGCTTGCACAACCCTCGGCGCGTGTACGCGCTCTGCGCCTGGCTGCCCGAAAACGTAGTCAGACCCGAGAGCGGGGTCTCCCCATCCTTCAGGCCGAGGGGCAGAAGGATGGCGGCCATGCCGGTGAGGCCCACCTCGCTGGAGGAGGCCCCGAGCCCCCACCTGCAGGAGAACCCCAAAGGCGGATTTGGCGCCACGGGCGGGGAGGGGCTGCGGAGCCTGCCCTCACCCGGAGAGGCGCGAGGTCTTGGCAGCCAAAGCCTTGGCGGGCGCAGGGCCTGCCGCCGTCTGGATCGGACGGTGGCGGAGGTGGTGCAGTTCCTGCAGGTGGAAGACAGGAAGAGCCCCGTCACTCGCTCCGAGTTGGGGAAATACGCTATCTGAGACTCAAAGGATCTTTTCCCTGAGATCATCGCTAGGGCCGCAGAACATCTGCGGTATGTCTTTAATTTTGAGCTTAAATAGCTTGGCCGCAAACACCACACTTATCCTGGTCAACAAACTAAAGCCTCTTGGGGAGGAGGAGGAGGATCTGAGGGGAGATGGCCTCAGATTGGGTCTCTTAATGATCTTGGGCTTTATCAACATGAAAGGTAATAGCACCAGGGAGGCACAAGTCCGGAAGATGCTGCGTCGGGGTGTGTGTTTGGGGGGGGGGGGTGCCCCTCAAAGTATGCCGATAACATCACTACCTCTGGGCACCCGAAGAGGCTTTTGACGATTTTGTACAGCAGCAATACCTCAATACAGACGGGTGCCTCACACCATTCCACCAGATTGTGAATTCTCTTGGGGTCCCTGAAGCAACCTGGAAACCAGCAAGCTGAAAATCCTGGGGTTCGTGGCCAAACTCCGTAGCAAGGAACCCCAGCACTAGCCAGTGCAGTAACCTGAGGTGCTGGCAGAAGAGGTCGACAAGGCCAGAGCTGAGGCCAGTATTCGGTTAGGGGCAGGGCCGATGCTGGGGTTGGCATCCGCCCCTGGTGGTCAGCAAGGGGGTGGTTAGGGTCACTGTGAAACTGCTGATTGAGTTTTAAGTAATATAAGTGAGGGGTGGGTTATTTCTATGGGAGGTGTATTTGTGTAACTAATATTTAAGTGTTTTGTTACATTTAAATTTGTTACATCTTAAATTGATGTTTATAAATGAAATTGGTCTACTTTTTGTAGGATTTTGTTGTAGAGTTTTGCTGGTTTTGTAAAAGGGTTTGAAAAACTTTGTATTTTATTCCATGATCTTAAACAAGTTCTGCAGCATAGTAGTGCTGTGCATTAATGGTTCCAAGGAACTCTGCAGTATGATGATCTGGTATCAGGGCAAAAAAATAGCTGATTAGTGTCCAGCTTCCTAACACTGGTTTAGTGTGTGTGTGTGTGTGTGTGTGTGTGTGTGTGTATGACTGATGTATACTTCTATTTGCTTAGCTATTATAGTACTAGAGAAAAATTAAAATGCAATGAATTAGAAGTATGTTCTGGTATGCTAAATAAATTAAACATTTGCTGAGCATTATCTTTACTGTGGTGCACTACTTGGGGCATTTGGGGATAGAATGTTGAACAAAATAAAGGGCCTACTTTTCAGAACTGGACAGTAAGTAAATAAACCACAATGCAGTGAGTTGAGGTCTATGGGAGAACACCTAACCCAGCAAGAGTGATTGGGTGAGGCTTTGGTCAGTCTTTGGGAAGAGGAGAAATGGGGTGGGTGAGGGAAGGGGAAGGAAAAGAGGAAGAAGAATTTGGGGGTGGGAAATGACTCAGGATCGCAGATGTTCCTCCGTGACATGAAGAAGACTTGATACGTGGTAGATCTGGAAAACACTCTGCCTTACCCAATGCTCTTATTCCAGGGCAGTTTATCACAGTGCACAAACAACGGTGGGTACTATTAGCGTTGGTCTTTTTTTATCCTCACCCAAGGACATTTTTCCATTTTTTGTTCAGATAGAGTGGGAGGGAGAGAGTGAGAGAGAGAAACATCGACGTGCAAGGGACACATCGAGTGGTTGCCACCCGCACAACCCAACCAGGGCTGGGGACAAACTGCAACCGAGGTACGTGCCCTTAGCAGGAACCGAACCCAGGTCTCTGGACCGCAGGCTGATGCTCTAACCGCTGAGCCAAACCAGCCAGGGCTAGCGTTGGTCTTTTCCAACCCTTCTCTTACCTCTACAAGGTTCCCTCTTCTACCAGAGCCCTCAGAGACCAAATATTGTAACAGTTCTGGAACAGTATATAGTGTGGGTGGGGAGGAAACATATGATGTTCCCTACTACCAAGTAGTTCCACTTCAATATCTCTCCCCTGGCACCAGGAAGCCCCATGCCCTCATCCATGTTTCTACCTGTCACTTTCCACCTGCCACTTCCCATTTGGAAGAGACTTGTAAGGCATCCCTCACATTCTTAACTACTCATGAAGGGTCATCTATATATAAGCAAGTCAGGACTCTGCAATGCCTATCACCTTCACTCTGGCGATAAATCCTGTAGAATGGGTACATAGAATAACAAGAAACCTAGAAGAGTGGTAACCATACCAAAGATGGTTGTTGGTTGAAACCACTACAGCTACCATATGCAGAAGGACTGCTTTCTGCCTCTTTAATGCCAGTCTTTTCTGCTTTTAATTGTGTCCAAATAACACTTCTGAGTATGTTAAGGTTAGCATACAATAAAAGACTTTGAGACACAGGCCTAGGGATTCAACAAATCAGAATGAGACCAAAAGCTATAAGCCATGGGCAAAGAAATTAACTAATGTTTAAAAGTACAACTTCTGGGCAGTTTATAATTCATTAAACAAAAAGATAGAGGGCCCACTATATGCCAAGGACTTTGCTGGGTTCTAAAGATTGAAAAAGCAGGACTGGCCTTACCCTGAAGGAATGATAAGATTGATAATTTCTCACATTTGTATTTCTCACGGCTGCTGAGAGGTCAGCAGTGTGTGTACCTAAAGATCAGATTACATGGTATTTGCCTATGGTCAGCAAAAGAGCACCAAGACTACAACCCGAGTCCCTTGCCCCACAATTCATTCTGTTTCATCGTAGCACATTGTTTCCCATTCCTGGCTCCCAATATGTTGTGTGTGATCTTAGTTATTATAACTCCAAAACACAAGCAAGGCATGTGTAATTACCTCCAGCTGCTACTTTAGTCCTTATGGGAGAGAGGTAGAATAGAAATGCTCCCCATTTGCCCTGGATGGTTTTGCTCAGAGGTTAGAGCATCGGCTCACAGACCAAAGAGATAATAGGTTTGTTTCCCAGTCAAGGGCAGGTACCTTGGTTGCAGGTTTGATCCCCAGTGTGCAGGAGGCAAGCAATGGATGTGTCTCTCTCACATCAATGTTTCTCTCTCTCTCTCTCTCTCTCAAAAAAAAAGAGAAGAAAAAAAAGAAATACTCCCCATTTTACCAATGGTAGAGGTGACTTTGCTGAAGATCAGAGGCATAGTACCAGGCAAAGAGAACTAACAACAGTAACCATTTATTAAACACCTACAGGCCAAAGGCATTTTTCTTCCTACTTTGTTTTTAATCCTCACCTGAGGATATATTTTTATTGATTTTTAGAGAGACAGAAGAAGGAAGAGAGAGAGAGAGAGAAACATCGATGTGAGAGAGAAATATCAATTGTTTGCCTTCTGTACACTCCCCGACCAGTGATCAAACTCACAACCTAGGTATGTGCCCTGACTTGGAATCAAACCCACAACCTTGCCCTGGCCGGTTCGGCTCAGCGGTTAGAGCAGTCCGGAGAGACCCGGGTTCGGTTCCCGCTAAGGGCATGTACCTCGGTTGCAGTTTGTCCCCGGCCCTGGTTGGTCGTGCGGGTGGCAGCCACTCGATGTGTCCCTTTCACATCGATGTTTCCCTCTCTCTCTCTCTCTCCCCCACTCTATCTGTGCAAAAAATGGAAAAATGTCCTCGGGTGAGGATAAAAACAAACAAACAAACAAACCCACAACCTTTTGGTGAATAGGACAATGCTCCAGCCAACTGACCCTCCCAGCTAGGGCTCTTCCTTTCACAACCACATTGCGAAGTAGGTATTACTAAATACCTCCATTTTACAGATGTCAGTACTTGTCATTTATTCAATACCTAAGATGAGCCAGCTTTTCTATGCTTTACATATGTTTAATGCTTTTTAATAACAATCGTACAGGATAGATATCTGTTCCATTTTGCACAAAGCAAACAGATGTGGATAAGCTATAAAGGTCTCACAGATACTGTATAACAAAACGAATTGGAACGGAAGTCTAAATGAGTCAGAAGCCTGCACGTTTCACTATTTTACATTTCCTTCATCTTGGGACTCCTTCCAGACTTGGGTCATCTGTCTCTGGACTCGTGTTCTTTCTTCAAAGACTGCTGTCTCTCTGGAGATACAACAAGGACTGTGTAGCCAAGGTAATTATGACAACACACTGCCCTGTAGGAGGGTAAAAAGGAGGCTAAAATAAAGTTGGAGAATTCTCTGTGAACATTGATCCCAGCTCTGCCTATTCTCTCCCCAGTGTTTACAAAGTGCTCACTACATGTAGAATGTGTATGTTTGCTCAAACTCAGCATGTTTTGCCCTTATAGGCCATGTTGCCTCAGTCTTTAGTCTGCTCTCTCCACTTAGCCTCAAATTAAGTCTTTCATGCCATGGAACAATCAAATAACATTTGTAAACCTGCAAATACAATTCCTAGTGTGTTTTCAGATACATGCTACAAAGAGCTGGCAGAATGCATACCCTTTCCTCAGGATGAAAGACCTCCTATGTCACAGATGCCATCATCAGTTTCTCAGATGTACTCAAAGTCTGGCCTCTACATCCATGTGTAGAACAGACATTGGCCATGGTGAGGGCAAGAGATGAATTCTGTTGTGTATGGTCATTCACATGAGGGAGAAGAAAGGCCTGGATCTCCCGTCTCCTTCCCCTTCAGCCACAGTTAGAACTAGATTCCTAAGTCAAACACTGAGTGGAGAGATCAGGGCGTTGCTATTGGGGGCGTGGTGGCAGATGGATTGCTCCAAATCATAACTAGAGAGCAAAGACAGTCAAGGAAATTCCCTTGAAAGCTATGAATCATGTCTTGGACAATAGGAAGGTCTCAGTGCAACCCCAGACTGCAGGGATATTGACACCAGAGTCAGAACTTTCAACCCACTGGAATTTCGAAATGAGTGTTTGGAAACAGGTTGAGGTTGATTATAACCCCAACATCTAGCAGGCACATAATGCTCCAGAGGTGGCAGCTCATTTACAGCCCCTGCAAATCAGGCTTCGATTCACAGGCTCAATCACAGTTTCCACTAGAGATAATTATACTTCATGCATTGGTCATGGTGGCAACCGATGCTTGTGCAAATTATTCCTCAAATTGTGCAGCCCAGCAGAGATGGCAACAATTACCTCCCAGCACAAACATAGTGTACTGACTAAGAGGTTAGGTATTCTGAAAAGTGTCCTAATCAAGATGTTTTAGAAGTCATGACTGTGACCTTGAACAAGAAATACAAACTCAGAAACGAAGCTCTAGGAAAGAATTTAGTGAGGTGACTGGAATGGTGGTCAGCTACAAACTAGAGCTCACACCCCATCCTACTAGCTGATTGCAGACCCTCCTGCCCAGTTACCGAGCCAGTCATGACAGATAACAATAGCAGCATTCATTAAATCCTATGTGTCAGGCATGGTGCTAAGTATGATAACCACATTGTCTTATGCAACTACACGACAGTCCCATGAGGCACATTCTGCATCTGCCAACATTACAATACTATAGGCAACTACAGGGAGAGAATGGTTCTGTTGGTGTGTAAGTTAAATGACTTACCCAAGCTCATGACACAGCTAGTGAGCAGCAGATCCAGAACTTGAACCTGAGTCTTCTGGGTTCTTGCTGGTGTTCCACCCTGTTGGTCTTTAGAAGGTTCTTAGAGAGAAGGAAAAAGAACTATTTGTCATGCTCATTTACACCATAACCCAGAGCACCT